CTCATGGCTTCAGAAGGAAACAGGCCAGCAGCTCCCTTCGCTCCCAGAGACATCCCTGAGGGATGGAGGGGCTGAGGTCCCCGCCTCCTGCCCGGGAGAGGCTGGGGTCCCGGCCCGGCTAACAGCAGGAGCGGGGGCTCGAGGGGCAGGGGCCACACAGGTGACGTCACTCTGGGGGCTGCCCCAGCATCGGCTCTATGGAACTCTGACAGTGGGGACACTGTCGTCAGCTTCTCCAGAGAAGCTTCCAGAAAACAGAAGTCACGGCGGTCAAGCCTGCTGAGACCTCAACCACGGAAACAGACAGCACGGCCTGGACAGACTGAGCGGAGCCACGTAGGACAACATGCGTGGAGCAGAGGCCAGCGCAGGGGGCGGGGGTGGCGTGGGGTGGAGACGCTAGGGAAGGGCTGAGCCCGAGACAGCGGAGGTTCGACGGCCGCCTCCTGGCCACTGGCCTGTTTGTGCAAGCGCCCCTGAGCACCACAGAGAGGAGGCCCCGCCACCCAATCCCAAATGCGCGTCATACCCCACTCACACAGGACGCCGGCCCACCGAGCCGGGGCGGGCAGGGCCAGCGGGGAGGAGGCAGGGCCAGCGGGTGGCCGGTTCGCTCGGCAGAGCCACGGTGTTGAGAGGCCGACTGGGGCTCCAGCCTCTGCCACAGCACGGCCGTGGGCGTCTGGAGCACGCGGCAGCTCCGTGCTGGACATGTGTGGTGAGCACCCCACATTCACCGGCAGCACAGGGGGCCCCGACACCTGCGCACCTGTGTTCTTGGCTTTCAGGAGGCCGTGGCAGCGGGAGGCGGTGTCCAGGATGACGTGGAGGAAGAAGGAGGGGTTGCCCCGGACTGGCCGGTTGAAGGGCAGCTGGAGCACGCACGCGTGGAACCTGGGTGGGGTGGGGCGCATCAGGGTGGGGCGCCTTGTGCGGGTGTGCCCACGCTCAGCGCACGCAGCTGTGTGCATGCGACCACACGACGGGCCCCTCGCCCGGCCCCTGTGCGTCTGGGTCCTCCCTGAAGCAACGTGCAACCTGACTTGTTGCTCACGGTCACCTGGCTGAGGTGGGAGGCATCTTCCCCGGCCGTGGGCCCAGGGTCGGGGCCATACCGCCAGCCTGGGAGGACAGCACGGTCAGTGGCTGGAGCACCCTGTCCTGAGGGCGCTGCTGGGTGCAGAGTGGGGTGAGGCCTGCATCGGTGGACGCTGCGTCGCCACAGACCCCGGCCCGGAGCCTCCGCTCAGAAGAGCTGAGCTGTGTGTGTCCTGCTCCAGCTGCCAGGCCCCCATGCCCGGCCACCCTGCTGTGACCATCCCGGTCCAGGGCCACGTCCCTTCCTGCCGGGCCCTCAGGCCTCGCACATGCCTAGCCAGCTGGTCTGGAAGCAGCCGACGCTGACCGGTGGGCGAGAAGCTGGCAACTCTACCCCCTCGTGGTCATGGGACTGACCTGGGTGTGGAGCCACCCAAGGGTGCCCCACCATGGCCTGGTCTATGCTTCCTAGCAGGCAGGTGTCCGGGGCCGGGACCCCGCAGAGCGAGGGCCCATGGCGGGGACACAGGTGAGGCCGGGCGGAACACCAGAGCAGGACTTCAGTGGCGAGGTGACAGCCTCAGGGGCCAGCCTCCCACTGCCTCGGATCCTGGCCTGACTGGCCTCAGCCCAAGGGCCCGGATCGAGCAGTGCCACAGCCACCTCATCCTTGGCTGCTAGTGGCCTGTGGGCACTTCCCTGTTTGATGCTAGCATGCTTCCCGGTGTCTCGGCCACCTGCATGCGACAGGAGAGTGGGGAGGAAGGTGCAGGGAAGGGAGAAAGGCCACACCAGGCGGGAGGCGCCGAGCACGGGGGCCCCACACTGCCCAGACACCACGGGGCCAGAGCAGCGCACGCCGGGCCCCTGTGGCCGCAGCTCAGGGCCATCTGGGGCTGGCAGGGGCTTCGATGATGTTTAACAGGCACGTCCTCCGAGGGCCCCTCCAGTTCCTGACACACAACCTCGTCTCGCAAGGGGACAGCCCTGGGTAACAGACCCAGAGGCTCCCGTCACCCAGGGGACACCACGGCCCCCTCGCCCGCCCACAACTCGGGCCTCCGCCCTGCCTTCTTGCGTCCCGAGGCCAAACCGGCAAGGTTAACGTCCGTCCGCCTGGGGACCAGCACAGCTTGACGGTGCGACTGTGCAGCCCCCACCAGCCCCCGCAGGTGGCCACGACCCCTGCAGACAGCAGGTGTTTCAGAAGCACAGTGGGGCCTCAGCACCGGCCGAGGGGGGCACAGGTTTGGGGCTGTGGCCGGCCAGCCGCACCTCGATCCCCTGCCCCCTGGGCCCCACGTGCGGGCTGCCCCTCTCCTCAGCTCTTCTCCCATGAACCCCTCCTGCGGTAAACAGGTCGGTGCATGGGACATAGGGACACTGTGGGCCATGCGGCCTTCCTGGTGACCGGGAACAGGGCCTCCAGCAAAGCAGGGCTGGTGCGAACGTGCACGAGGAGGCAGCGTCTGCCACTGAAAATACACCAGTGCCGCCTTCTCTCAGGGAGGGTGAGCCGCGCGGGCCTGGGACCGGGGCGGGCGCTGTCCTCAGGTGGCCGGGGCGCCCACCTGTAGGCTTAATATCTTGTAGACGTTTGTGCAGACCGTCTGGAGGCTGTTCACCTGCAGCCACAAGGAAGAGAACACCGGCCACACATGTGGGTTCACGTCTGCCTTCTGCTCTCCCACCCGCTCAGGTGGAGGGAGAGGAACGCGTCCTGACGAGAAGCCACCGTCCCTCCCACGAAACCCCACTGGATCCCCAAGGGCAGCCCCTCCCCCCCTGGGGTGGAGTCAGGGATCAGCTGGGGTGCTGCAGGGAAGTATACCGGCCTGGCCAGGAGGACGTCCAAGGGCCCCAACAAGGCCTCGGACCCCAGAGCCTGCGAGCAGGGGCCCCGGGACCAAACAAGAGGGGGGCCTGCGGGGGGCAGGGCAAGGGGCCCTCGATGCACACCCGTACATGCGTGCATACGCCAGACATGCCCATGTGCACATACTCACCTGTGACCCACATACATGCATGCACGCACACCTACACGCATGCACACAATCCACATACATGCACGCACGCACACCTACACGCATGCACACAACCCACATACATGCATGCACGCACACCTACACGCATGCACACAACCCACATACATGCATGCGCGCACACCTACACGCATGCACACACATGCCCCACATATGCATTCGCATGCACATGCCGAACATGCCTACACACGCATGTGCCCACATGCACGCACATGCCAAGCATGCCCACCTGTGTGCGCACGTGCACACCCATATATCCATACATGCCCACATGCACTCACACGCAGCACGCAAACATACACACGTGTACACCTATACATGTGCGCACCCATACATACACATGCATGCACACCCGCCCATACACACATGTGCCCACATGCACACATGCTAAGCATGCCCACCTGCGTGCACACGTGCACATCCACATATACATACCGAACATGTCCACACATCCATATGTGCACGCCTACATGTGCACGCTCACATACATATGTACACACCCACATGTCTGCATGCTCACACACGCACTACACCACCAGACCTATAAACCACGCAGCCCCACAGGTGGCCTAGGAGCAGCGGGCCCGAGTCCGGTGGCTGCGGGCTGCCCGCTGGCCACGTGCTCACCTGCAGATCCAGAAACAGACTGTGACACTTCAGCACCAAGACGCCGAAGAGCTTGCGACGCATGCTCCTCCCGGCCTTGAAGCCCTGGCTGAAGGTGAGGCTGGCTCTGATCGAGGTCTGGGCGTAACTGCAACACACAGGGGTCCCGTGACACGCACGTGTCCACCTCACGCCGTCACACGGCCTGCACCGCTGCTGTCAATGTGACTGGTCACACCTCGCGCGTGTCCCCGTCCACACAGCTGCGGCCTTTCCCAGGGGACACGAACGCCCCACGACGTGCTCTCGGCACGGCCAGCCGACCGGCCACACGCAGTCCGCAGACGGGAGATGGGGGCACAGTGCGGAGAGGGGCCTGCTCACCACCGCTGTCACCTGGGCGTGCCCGCCACGTGTCCCCCTGTACGTAAGTCCCCGGAGACAAAGCTACGTGACGTGCACAGCCCGCCCCGGGCGCCGTCCACCAGCCTCACACGCTCGTCGTGAACGAATTTTTCCGTTTTCTCTTTGAAAACAACCCTAACGGCAGAAGAGAGCTGCCTCGTGGTCAGGCAGTGCCCCCTCAGCCATTCCCTGGGTCACGTCGTCGCTGTGGCAAGTCGCACCAACCCCGGCATTGAAAACGGTCACGCGGCATTTTTGATCACGTCTCTGATTTTCTTCAGAACGAGTACCCGGAAGTGAAGTTACCGGGGAAATAGTAACACTTAAGCACTTTAACACAAATCCACCCTTCCCAGGAAAACTGTCCCTGTTTGTCCCCTAAGAAATGCACGAATGAGCCGGCGTCCTGACGTGGCGCTTGGTGGCAGACACAGGCGAGGGACAGTCCACGGGAAAGGGTGCCTCAGGGCCGCTGGGGCAGAGCTGGGCCCGGGGGGTGGGGGACACCCGGGAAGTCCAGGCTGAGTCCCCAGGAGGAGACACCGAGCAAAGAGAGTGGGCTGGGGGCTGGGGCAGGAGTCGCTAGCATGGGGACCCCAGCCAGGCAGGGGACGCTCGGCCCCTCTGGAGGAGCGGGAAGCGCCTGCGGCTGCCTGTCCCCTTTCTGAGTGAATCCCCGCAGAGCCCATGAGCACAGGTCCACTGCTGACCTGGGTGGCCACAGGGACAGGGGACGCCGGCCTCGCACCCTCAGGAACCCGTGCTCCTCATTCACAGAGCAGCAGCCCCGTGCCTGCGTCCCCCCGGCACGGCCACATCTGTGTGGGGCTGGGGGATCTGAGGTTTGAGGGAGACAGCTGCTAGGGCTGAACTGTGTCCCCCTAGTTCACATGTTGAAGCCGTCTCCCTGTGTGGCTGTTTGGGGTCAGGGCCGCTAAGACGGGAGCCGAGGTCACGTGCGGTGACCAGGGTGTGGTCATCAGACGTGACTGATGTCCTAGGGAGAGACACCAGAGAGGCTCGAAGGCAGAGGGCCGGCCACGTGAGGGCCGGCCGTGCACAGGCCAGGGCGAGGCCTCAGGGACGCCGGCCCCTCCCGCCC